ATGGTACATCGCTGTTATCCTCCTTGCTGCACTTTACCCATTAGCTCTATCCTTTAATGTTGTGGCACCAGTCCGCTCACCCTTGATGAGACACTGAACTTTGCTTCTGGTTGTTTGGTTTTGACGTTGTTTTACATACAGTTTAATGTTGTTGTTTGTTTAGATGGTTCCAATGAATCATCTGAGCAACGGTGTTGTGCCTGTGCTGTCGCGCGCTGGGCCTGTGACGTGCTTCTAGAATGCCCAACGGGACAGCCAGGGTGCCTCGGCTGAGAGGCCCTTTAGATTTCCCCACACAAAGTTCTGTAGAGGCTTAAAGTAAGTCCAACAAAGTTATTTATTATGACTAAAATCTTCAAAGACATGGATTAAACACTTTACAACTTTAGAAAATGGTGGCTTCCTTGATCTGCCAACAAGGGGCAGGCAACTGAGGATAAACTGCTTCTTTCTTCTTTAAGGGAAATCTTTAGACCCCTCCCTGGGCGATCTTAGAATCATAGAATCCAAGAGTTGGAAGAGACCTCCTGGGCCATCCAGTCCAACCCCATTCTGCCAAGAAGCAGGAATATTGCATTCAAATCACCCCTGACAGATGGCCATCCAGCCTCTGTTTAAAAGCTTCCAAAGAAGGAGCCTCCACCACACTCCGGGGCAGAGAGTTCCACTGCTGAACGGCTCTCACAGTCAGGAAGTTCTTCCTCATGTTCAGATGGAATCTCCTCTCTTGTAGTTTGAAGCCATTGCTCCCTTGTGTCCTAGTCTCCAAGGAAGCAGTAAACAGGCTTGCTCCCTCCTCCCTGTGGCTTCCTCTCACATATTTATACATGGCTATCATATCTCCTCTCAGCCTTCTCTTCTTCAGGCTAAACATGCCCAGCTCCTTAAGCCGCTCCTCATAGGGCTTGTTCTCCAGACCCTTGATCATTTTAGTTGCCCTCCTCTGGACACAGCTTTACTTTACTTTTGCTGGCGTGAGGCCCCCACTCCTGGCTCCAATCTGCATTATGGATAGCCTGAGTGGTCCCTTACCAGGCAATGTCTCTGTAGATTTTCCAAGATGAAAAGGAGTCCTCTACTTTCCAGCGGTGACTGTAAGATCTGTTGTCTTTCTCCAGCAAAACCTGGCTGTCTTTCCCCCCCGAACTTTGTGAAAATTGAAGCCTTTTACAGATGGGAGAGAGAAAAGCCCACAACATCCTGTCTGTAAGGCTTCACTGTTAAAACTGAACTGAAAGTCTGTTTCCTCCAAAACTGGGAAAAGGGGTGGATCTAAGAGCTCTAATGATGATTGACAGGTTGCTGGCCCTATGATTGCAACCTGAGGGAAGTTACCTTATTGCAAAATGCATGGTCCAAATAAAGCTTAAACAAACTAGCCATGCAAGAAAAAGAAATTCCTGGCACAGCTGTGTCAGCACAATGCCTCTGCTTGTAGTCTGTCTGCGCGATCTTCTTGCAGCAGCTGAGGATGGGATCTATTGTTTCATCTGCTTCCTTGCAGAGTTATTACTATTTAAGTTATTTTAATGTTTTTGAGTTACTATTATTATTATTCCATCGGGCAAAATTTGACTACCAATGGCCAGAATTTCAGAGTGGACCTAGACAACTGTGAGAAGGCTGGGCTAGTGCAACAAAGGGCCAGGGGAATGAGTAAAGTGCAAAGCAGGGTCCTAACTAATGGCCAGGGTAGTACCTGGGGCTACTCAAACCGCCTTGAGTTGCCAATAGGCTGAGAAAGGCGGTATACAAATTGTGTAGGTACAACTGCATCAGGAGCTCCAATTTTGTTTGCTTTGCATTTAATGTTTGTTGCAGTCCTAAGTTTCAGGGACTCTGCAGATAGGTGGCTTCTTTTCAATCATAGGGCAAGCCACCTGTCAATGATAGTTAGGTTCCCTGGTCCCACCCCCTTTGGGTTTTTGGAGGGAATAGGAGCCTTTTTAGGTTCAGTCCACACAGAGAAGCTTTTCGCACAGGACATAAAACGGAGAGCTCCTGTAGAAAGCTTCATCTTCTATGGCTTGGTCGGGGAGATATACAGCCTACAGCTTGGCCAAGGATTATACAGCTTTACAGCTCCTTTAGGAACCCCCGGTGGCGCAGTGGGTTAAAGCACTGAGCTGCTGAGCTTGTTGATTGAAAGGTCACAGGTTCGATTCCGGGGAGCGGCGTGAGCTTCCGCTGTCAGCCCTAGCTTCTGCCAACCTAGCAGTTCGAAAACATGCAAATGTGAGTAGATCAATAGGTACCGCTCTGGCGGGAAGGTAACGGCGCTCCATGCAGTCATGCCAGCCACATGACCTTGGAGGTGTCTACGGACAACGCTGGCTCTTCGGCTTAGAAATGGAGATGAGCAGCACACCCCAGAGTCAGACATGACTGGACTTAATGTCAGGGGACTACCTACAGCTCCTTTGCTGAGGGACTTCAGCCAGCCATCACCTAAACCTAAACCTAAGCCTGAACTCCTTCTTTTTCTACAAAGCTCTGCTTGGTAAGCGTTGCTCGCGGAAGCCAGACACAGTTGGTACCGGGTGCAGGGGCTCCACGCCAACAGAGGCAAAGACAGACTGCCCAGATTAGAAGTTAAGGATTTCCCCATTAGTTACAGTTATGAAGATAGTGCCTGTTCCCTGTGGACAAGATTGAGAGAGAACCAATAGACTATTAAGAAAGCCTTAAAGTATCTGTTTGTTTTCATTAATAAAGAACATTGTTGAACCTTTAAGCAATCTAAAGACTCTGTTTTAAGGAAATCCAAAGGCCTTTGATCTGAGGCAGCCCCGGCGTCCTGTTGGGCACACAGAATTTATGTCCTGTGTACAGTCTGATGCACAGGCCCAGCGTGCAACAGCACACAAATACAGTAAATAAATACTCATTTCCAAGGCCTGCTATTTATTTATCATGTCAGGAGCAAACCAAACAGTTGTATTGCATTCCAAGGCCCGCTGAATAGCTACAGTAGGGCTGGCTGGGCCAGCGCTAGAACAACAAGGTAGCAGAGGGGCGGAGAAGTGGGCAAAGTCCAGAGCAGGGACCTAACTGGTGGCCAGAGAAGGGCCTGGGGCTAATCATTGGAACCACCAAGTTTTCAGGTCCCTATGGAAGGAGGATAGTGAGGAGGCTTGTCTTATCTCATTGGGGAGGGCATTCTGAAGGTGGGGGGCCACCACCGAGAAGGCCCTCTCCCTCGTCCCCACTAACCATGCTTTGGATGGTGGTGGGAGCGAGAGAAGGGCCTCCCCAGTAGATCTAACAGTCCCCGCCGATTCATAGGGAGAGATCCGATTGCGGAGATAGGTGCGGCCTGAACCATCCCTTCAATGGTCAGCCTAGTCCTAGCAGTCTTGGATGGCTTCCATGCCCCTTTGTGGTCTGTTGACTCACTTTTGACATTGACCTCTTTTGAGAATTCTCCGTCTTTGGAGCAGAGCAGAGTGGAAAAGCAGGTTTTGGATTATAGAAGAGATCCGGTTCCTTGAGAGGGTGGCCAGCCCCGAACTTTCTGTGTGTAAAAAAAGAAAGGTGTGGTCCCTTTACGTCTATACAGTTTAGTTTGGCGTGGGATTTTTGTGGCTTTCCAGGGAAAGGAATAGCAGAACGAGGACACAGCCATGTTAAATACGTATATTGTTTATGACGCCTTATTTAAGTTGGTATTTTGTATGAGTGGGTTGGAGCCCACAGAGGATTAAACTGCTGAGCTGCTGAACTTGTTGACTGAAAGGTCACAGGTTCGAATTTGGGGAGTGGCATGAGCTCCCTCTGTTAGCCCCAGCTTCTGCCAACCTAGGATTCGTAAACGTGCAAATGTGAAGTAGATCAATAGGTACCGCTCCGGCGGGAAGGTAACGGCAGTCCATGCAGTCATGCTGGCCACATGACCTTGGACATGTCTATGGACAATGCTGGCTCTTCGGCTCAGAAATGGAGATGACCACCAACCCCCAGAGTCGGACACAGCTGGCCTTAATGTTAGGGGAAAACCTTTACCTTTACCCTATGAGTGGGTTAATGGTTTGAGCTTTGGATGATGGCTTTGGAGGCGCCTTGCTCAGCCATGGAAACGTATTGGGTCACACTTTCTCAGCACCAGAAAAGTTCAATAATAATAATAATAACAATAATAATAATAATAATAATAATAACGTAATAATAATAATAATAATATAATGTAATAATAATAATGTAATAATAATGTAATAATAATAATAATATAATGTAATGATGATAATAATAATAATAATAATAATGTAATCATAATCATAATAATGTAATAATAAAGAAGGCTCTCTTTATTATTACATTATGTTGACAAGCTGGAATGTGTCCAGAGGAGGGCGACTCAAATGATCAAGGGTCTGGAGAACAACCCCTATGAGGAGCAGCTTAAGGAGCTGGGCATGTTTCGCCTGAAGAAGAGAAGGCTGAGAGGAGATATGATAGCCATGTATAAATATGTGAGAGGAAACCACAGGGAGGAGGAGGGAGCAAGCTTCCTTTCTGCTGCCCTGGAGACTAGGACGCAATGGAGAAATGGCTTCAAACTACAAAAGAGGAGATTCCATCTGAACACGAGGAAGAACTTCCTGACTGTGAGAGCCGTTCAGCAGTGGAACTCTCTGCCCCAGAGTGTGGTGGAGGCTCCTTCTTTGGAGGTTTTTAAACAGAGGCTGGATGGCCATCTGTCAGGGGTGATTTAAATGCAATAGTCCTGCTTCTTGGCAGAATGGGGTTGGACTGGATGGCCCATGAGGTCTCTTCCAACTCTTTGATTCTATGATTGCAAAGCTTGGCTGGTTTGGCTTTGGATGCAGCAGTATAGAAGTCTAGATGTGAATACAGCCAGTAGGCAGTTAGGAATTGTGGGAGTTGAAGTCCAAAACACCTGGAGGGCCGAAGTTTGCCCATTCCTGCCATAGAAGGGTTTTTAAAAGGGGGGGCTTTTTGTTTTTTCGTTCCAGTTCTGCAAGAGACAAGGAAGACCCTCCTTCTGCACCACCTCCTCTTCTTCCCCGTCTGAAGCTCTTGGAAAAACACCGTTCTCTGGGGGTCCCACCGAAGCCCCCTCTTCTCTCGCATTCAGACTTGGGTGAGTGTCTTGTAAGCCCTATTGACTCGAATTTAATGCTCACTTTTTTTTTGGGATAGAGGACCTTCACTGGATCAAATTTGGCAGAAATACCTGACATGCCTAAATTTGAGGTTGGGGGGATTGATTTTATAATTTTGGAGTTGTAGTTTCTGGGATTTATAGTTCACCTACAATCAAAGAGCATTCTGAACTCCACCAATAATGAAACTGAACCAAACTTGGCACACAGAACTCTCATGGCCAACAGAAAACCCTGGAAGGGTTTGGTGGGCATTGACCTTGAGTTTTGGAGTTGTAGTTCACCTACATCCAGAGAGAACTGTGGACTCAAACAATGAAAGATCTGGACCAAACCTGGCACGAATAGTCAATATGCCCAGATGTGAACACTGGTGGAGTTTAGGGGAAATAGACGTTGACATTTGGTAGTTGTAGTTGCTGGGAATTATAGTTCACCTACAATCAAAGAGCGTTCCGAACTCCACCAATAATGAAATTGAACCGAACTTGGCACACAGAACTCTCATGGCCAACAGAAAACACTGGAAGGATTTGGTTAGCATTGACCTTGAGTTTTAGAGTTGTAGTTCACCTACATCCAGAGAGAACTGTGGACTCAAACAATGATAGATCTGGACCAAACCTGGCATGAATAGTCAGTATGCCCAGATGTGAACACTGGTGAAGTTTAGGGGGAATAGACCTTGAAATTTGGGAGTTGCAGTTGCTGGGAATTATAGTTCACCTACAATCAAAGAGCATTCTGAACTCCACCAATAATGAAATTGAACCAAACATGGCACACAGAACTCTCATGGCCAACAGAAAACACTGGAAGGGTTTGGTGGGCACTGACCTTGAGTTCTGGAGTTGTAGTTCACCTACATCCAGAAAGCAGGAGAAGGGCTTTTGGTGGGAAGAGGACAGGTGGAGAAATATTCAGCCTTCTCTTCCAAAGGAATTCCTAAAACCATCAGAAATATATGTTTCCTTGATGGCTTTTGGCGACCCCTCTGAAACCCCCTCCTGACCCCCACGGTGAGAAACACTGACCTTGAGTTTTGGAGTTGTAGTTCACCTACATCCAGAGAGCACTGTGGACTCAAACAATGATAGATCTGGACCAAACCTGGCACAAATAGTCAATAGGCCCAGATGTGAACACTGGTGGAGTTTAGGGGGAATAGACCTTGACATTTGGGAGTTGCAATTGCTGGGAATTATAGTTCACCTACAATCAAAGAACATTCTGAACTCCAGCAATAATAGAATTGGGCCAGACTTCCTATACAGAACCCCCAAAACCAACAGAAAATACTGTGTTTTTTGGTGGTCTTTGGCGACCCCTCTGACACCCCTTGCGACCCCCCAGGAGTCCCGACCCCCAGGTTGAGAAACACTGCTGTAGATGGAACATCTCTTGATTCCAGGAAGGCCTTCCTTTGATGGAATCCCCCATGACCTCCTTGCAAGGAAACTAGTCCAATGTGGGCTAAGCAAGACTACTCTTAGGTGGATCTGGAATTGGTTGAGTGGCCAAACCCAAAGAGGTTCATCTTCTTCCTCCTGGAAAGAAGTGATTAGTGGAGTAACATGAAGAGGGTTCAGTCCTGGGCCCAGTCCTGTTCAACATCTTTATTAATGGCATTGGATGACGGTTGAGAGCAGTATTTCTCAACCTGGGGGTCGGGACCCCTGAGGGTGTCATGAGGGGGTGTCAGAGGGGTCGCCAAAGACCATCGGAAAACACACTATTTTCTCTTGGTCATGGAGGTTCTGTGTGCAAAGTTTGGTTCAATTCCATCGTTGGTGGTGTTCAGAATGCTCTTTGATTGTAGGTGAACTATAAATCCCAACAACTACAACTCCCAAATGCCAAGGTCTATTTTCCCCAAACTCCACCAGCGTTTACATTTGGGCATATTAAAAATTCATGCCAAGTTTGGTCCAGATCCATCATTGTTTGACTCCACAGTGTTCTCTAGATGTAGGTGAAACCACAACTCCCAACCTCAAGTGCAATGCTCACCAGACCCTTCCAGTATTTTCTGTTGGTCATCGGGGTTCTGTATGCAAAGTTTGGTTCAATTCCATCGTTGGTGGAGTTCAGAATGCTCTTTGGTTGTAGGTAAACTATAAATTCCAGCAACTACAACTCCCAAATGCCAAGGTCTATTTTTCCCAAACTCCACCAGTGTTCACTTTTGGGCATATTGAGTATTCTTGCCAAATTTGCATCAGATCCATCATTGTTTGAGTCCACAGTGCTCTCTGCATGTAGGTGAACTACAACTCCCAAACTCAAGGGCAATGCTGACCAGACCCTTCCAGTATTTTCTGTTGGTCATGGGAGTACTGTGTGTAAATTTGGTTCAATTCCATTGTTGGTGGGGTTCAGAATGCTCTTTGGTTGTAGGTAAACTATAAATTCCAGCAACTACAACTCCCAAATGCCAAGATCTATTTTCCCCAAACTCCACCAGTGTTCACATTTGGGCATACAGAGTATTCTTGTCAAATTTTCCCCAGATCCATCATTGTTTGAGTCCACAGTGCTCTCTGCATGTTGGTGAACTACAACTCTCAAATTCAAGGACAATGCCCACCAGACTCTTCCAGTATTTTCTGTTGGTCAAGGGAGTTCTGTGTGCAAGGTTTGGTTCAATTCCATTGTTGGTGGAATTCAGAATGCTCTTTGATTGTAGGTGAACTATAAATTCCAGCAACTACAACTCCCAAATGCCAAGGTCTATTTTCCCCAAACTCCACCAGTGTTTACATTTGGGCATATTGAAAATTCATGCCAAGTTTGGTCCAGATCCATCATTGTTTGGCTCCACAGTGTTCTCTAAATTCTCTAAACTATAGTTCTCTAAACTATAGTTGTCTAAACTATAAATCCCAGCAACTACAACTCCCAAATGACAAAATCAATCCCTCCCTCAACCCCACCAGTATTCAAATTTGGACATATTGGGTATTTGTGCCAAATTTGTTCCAGTGTATGAAAATACATCCCGCATATCAGATATTTACAGAAGCAGAGTAGCACAGCGCAAGGGCAGATGTCTTCACTGTGTCTGGTCGTGATCCCCAGGTTGTGCCAGTCAGCTTTCGTATGATGTTGTTTCTAGCTCCCCATACTGTGAATGATAGGCACTCCCTCCAGCCAATGGACTAATTCTTTAAAGCAGCCTTAGGCACCGTTTGTGACTTCCTGTCCCCATCTGATCTCTCTTTGCAGATGAGTCAGATTATGACGATCCCCCGTTCGAGGAGGAAGTAGCCGCTGTGCCGGAAGAAATGACTGACAAGGTGAGTCCCCCAGTCTCTCTGTTGGGTTTCTTCTTAGAAGGAACCAGGTGCCAGTTTCTTCCTTTCGTTTTCTTGGACTGCAACTACCAGAATCCCCTCTGCATCCCGTGCTGCGTGGTGGATTCTGGGAGTTGCAGTCAGGAAATTGGAAACTTCTCAAAACTTTTCAGAAGCATGACTTTTGAGGATATTATAAGGGAAGATGATATCATCATCGTCGTCCTTCAAATAGAGACTGAACATATGTTTTCAAAGCCCTTGAAATTATTCTAGTTTTCATTTGATGATTATTTTCTCTCTTTGGTGATTGAATATTGATGATTTTTTTCCTCTAGTCTTACTTGGAGTTAGTAGGGATTGAACCTTGGATCTTGAGCATAGGAATATAGGGAGCTGGCTTATCTCCATTGAAAATTCATTATTATGTATATAATAAAAGTCAGTGTTTGTATGCGGAGGGAGGACGGGAGGTGTATGTGGCAGCTTCCTGATTGGCTGCCACTCTGGTACAATTTGCATATGGTCTCTGATTGGCCAACCTCAACATTCCGAGGCAGCAAAGGGAATAGGAAAGGGGCCTGAAGCTGTCAGGAATGGTTGGAGTTGAAGTCCAAAACACCTTGTGGCCCCCAACAATGACAGAAGAAGACCAAACCTGGCACACAGACCCCCCCCCCCCCAAGACCCACTCAACATCCTGGTGCAGTTTGAGCGAGGATGGACCATGGATGATAGGTCTTGCAGTAGTTTAACTTACTTCCTTAGAGCTCTGTGGCCCACACCAGTGACGAATCAGGACCAAACTTGGCACACAGAGGCCCAATGGCCCACTTTAAACCTGGTGCGGTTTAGGTCAGGATGGGCCGGGAATGTTGGGATTTGCAGTACCTTCACCCGATTCACTTCCCACAGAACATTGTAGCTCCTACAAATCACAGACCAAGCCGAAACTTGGCACACAGAGTACTCATGGCCCACTCTACATCCTGATGGCAGTTCTAAGGGGGATGGACCAAGAATGATGGGACTTGCAGTACCTTCACTCACTTACTGAAACCACTGCGACCCTCATCCAATGACTGATCAAGACCAAACTTGGCAAACAGAGCCCCCATGACCCACTCTACATCCTGCTGCAGTTTGGAGGAGGATGGACCATGGATGATGGGACTTCAAGTACCTTCACTCACTTCCTGAAAACAATGCAACCGTCATCCAATGACCAATACAGACCAGATTGGAATACAGAACCGCCATTACCCACTTTCTCTAATAACCCGGGCAGTGCCGAGTCCCCAAGCTAGTTATCTATAAATAGAAATGTAATGTTTGTTTGTTGGATTAACATAACTCATAACTGGATGAATTGACATGAAATTTGGACACAAGACACCTAACAGTCCAATGAGTGTCCATCACCCGTAAACACACACACACAAAACACCAGCGGAAGAGACTTAGAAACACACAAATATACACATAGACACACATACATATACATACACACAGATATAAATATACACATACATGCATGCACGCATACATATATACATATACACATGCACACACATATACATATTCACATACATACATATATACACACAAATATGCATATAGACAAGCACACACATATACACAATATGCATGTACACATTTAGGCATATTGAGTATTTGTGCCAAGTTTGGTCCAAATCCATAATTGTTTGAGTCCACAGTCATCTTTGGATATAGGTAAACTACAACTCCCAAACTCAAGGTCAATGCCCACCAAACCCTTCCAGTATTTTTTGTTGGTCATGGGAGAACTGTGTGCCAAGTTTGGTTCGATTCCATCCTTGGCGGGGTTCAGAATGTTCTTTGATTGTAGGTGAACTATAAATCCTAGTAACTACAACTCCCAAATGACAAAATCATTTTTTTAGTGAAGGACATACATTGTGTTGTTAGGTGTCTTGTGTCCAAATTTGGTGTCAATTCGTCCAGTGGTTGTTGAGTTCTGTTAATCCCACAAACGAACATGACATTTTTATATTTATATATAGACTAGCTGTACCCGCTATGCATTGCTGTGGCCAACCTTCCCTCTTTCTCTCCTTCTCTCCCTCCTTCCTTCACTCCCTCTTTCCTTCCTTCCTTCCTGTCTTTCCTTCTCTTCTTCCTTCCTTCTCAATCTCTTTCCTTCCTTTCTCCTTTTTCTTTCTCTTCTGCTGTCTCTTTTTCCTTCTTTCCTTCCCTCCCTCTTTCTCTACATCTTCCCCCTTCCTTCGCTCCCTCTTTCCTTCCTTACTTCCTTTTTTCCTTTCCTTCTCTCCTTCCATCCTTCCCGTCTTTCCTTCTCTTCTTCCTTCCTTTTCTAACTTTCCTTCCTTCCCCCTTTTTCTTTCTCTTTATTTCATTTTTTATTATTTATTTATTTCATCTACTTATACCCCGCCCTTCTCACCCCGGGGGGGACTCAGGGCGGCTTAC